TCTGACCCTCTACCTCCCCACCTTTGGAGAACTAACCAGTAGCTTATCTCTGTCCAATATACCATTATCATCATGATGAAAAGGATCCTACCATTGAGAATGGAGTTTCTAGGAGCCGGCTCCATGGCATGGTAGGTTAATTCTCCACCTGCAGTGCCAGCATCCCATATGGGCACTGGTTCTAGTCCTGGCTACCCCTCTTCCAATCCAGCTCTCTGCTATGGACTGGGAAAGCAGTAGAAGATGGCCAAAGTTCTTGGACCCCTGCCCCGGCATGACCCCTGCACCTGGCTCCTGGCTTCGGATCGGCACAGCTCCAGCCATTGCAGACATCTGGAGAGTGAAGCAACGGAAGGAAGACTTTCTGTCTCTCCCTCTCACTGTCTGTAATTCTACCTCTCAAATAAATAAACTTTTAAAAAAGAGAATGGAGACTCTGGATCCCAACAGATCTGAATTTGAATCTGAATTCTGTCCTATCTATAAAATGGGGAGGATGATAACGGTAAAGACTAATGAAAAGCAGTAAGTAAAAACTTTAACTCTTTCTAATGTTACAAAATTAACTCTTACTCCTGAAGATCATTATTTGTAACTTACTTAGTATAAATAATGTTGCTTCTTTTTATTAATATTTAAAAATCTCCCCCCCCCAGGGTTTATTATTTTAGATTATAAAGATGTGAAAATCAAAACCAAGTAGTTGGTGAACAGGGAAGAACCCCAACTGAGGTCCCAGGATCATTTCCGTCCAGTTCCCATGCCAAGTAGTAATAAACACTTCTCGGATTTCTGCTCTGAAGAGCTAAGCACAGCTGATGTTTTTGGTGAGGTCAAAACAGTAATGTGATACAAAACACCTCCCAGCTCGCTGGGGGAGGCGCTGCCCCACTCTGGTAAGTAATCTGCTGGGAAGGTCTGTGCATGAGTTTGCTAGGGCTGCCTGGCAAAGCACCACCCACTGGACAGCGTAAGCAGCACTGCATTGCCTCAGAGCTAGAGACCAGAAGTCCACGGTGAGGGCATCAGCAGTGTCGGTTCCTTCTGAGGACTGTGAGGGCAGGGCCTGCTGCAGGCCCCTTCCCATGACTTGAAGTGTTCTCCCTCTCCCCTTCTCTCCCTCCCTCTCCTCCTCTCCCCCTCTCCTCCTCTCCATCCCTCTCCCTCTCCCCCTCCTCTCCTCTCCCTCCCTCTCCCCCTCTCATTCTCTCTCCCCCTCTCATTCTCTCTCCCCCTCTCATTCTCTCTCCCCCTCTCTCCCTCTCCTCTTTCAAATAAATAATTTTTTAAAAAGACCCTATCTGCCAGTGCTGTGGCACAGTGGGTTAAAGCCCTGGCCTGAGGCGCCGGCATCTCATATGGGCACCGGTTCTAGTCCCGGGTGCTCCTCTTCCAGCTCTCTGCTATGGCCTGGGATAGCAGTAGAAGATGGCCCAAGTCCTTGGGCCCCTGCGCTCACATCAAAGACCCAGAAGAAGCTTCTGGCTCCTAGCTTCAGATCAGTTGCAGCTCCAGCCATTGCAGCCATCTGGGGAGTGAACCTCTCTGTCTATACCTCTCTCTGTAACTCTGTCTTTCAAATAAATAAATAAATCTAAAAAAAAAAAAAGACCCTATCTCCAAATAAGTTACATTAAGAGGTCCTAGGAGTCAGAATTTCAACACAGAACTTTGGGAAAGGGGAAGACAGAATCCAACCGGCAACAGTTCAGCTATTTGTTATAAGTTGCAGTTGTTTTAGTTTGTATTCAACTGCCCCATGAGTTCAGTGAGCTATTTTAAGCTCTATGTGCAAGAAAACTTCATAGCTGAATGTCAAGAGGTAGACAGTAGTACTTCTCCTTTACAAATGAGGTAACTGGGGCACAGAGAAATTAAGTTGCTCCAAGTTGAACAGCTGGTATTTGTATATGGTACAACCAGAAGTTGAAACTTGTCAGGCTGTCCCTGAGGCTGTGCATGTAGGTACCAGGCTTTGTGGTCTCTGTGAGCCAAAAACTCAGTGGGGGTCTCCTGTGGGAGTAGCAAGCACCCGAGTATCTAAGCCATCATTTGCAGTTTCCCAAGGAGTGCATTAGCAGGAAATTGGATGGGAAGAGGCAGAGCCAGGACTCAGTCAGGCACCCTGATAGGGGTTATGGGCATCCCAAGTGCTCTCTTACCCACTGTACCAAACACCCATGCCCAAAATAAGCTTCTAAGTCCATTTCCCACAAACTTTTTGAAGTATCCTCACATTTTATTGATTAGATCTCCTTGGAACTCTAAACTCACACATCCAACTACCTACTCAGCTGCTCAAACACACTGTGCCTAAAAGGAACACCTGATCCCCACCCCTCTTTGTGCTAAGTTCTCAGTAGACATCAACTTCATTCTCCCAGATGGTTTCACTCCTTGGGGTCATTGACAATCCCTCCATTTCTTTTACTGCTTTTTGTCCAACCCATCAGTAATTCCTGCAATATATAGATGCTCTTTGGCTTATAAGGTGGTTAATGTCAAGTAAACCCACCCTAAGCTGAAAATAGTGTTAAGTCAAAAGCCTGTTTAGCACACCTCACTACCTGATATTGTAGCTTCCCAGCATTGGGTGCTGTAGAGTACTGGGTGTTTGCCCTTGTGATTGAGTGGCTGACTGGGACATGTGGCTCATTGCTGACTCTCTTCCCCATGATGGAGTATCATAGTGCATGTCCCCAGCCCAGGAAAAACATTCAAATTCAAAATTTGAAATAAAGTTTCTGCTGAATGCATATTGCTTTTGTACGATTATAAAAAAAAATCATTAAGTCAAACAACCGTAGGTTGAGAACCATCTACATATACAGTCTGGTGGCCTCCAGCCACCTCCACTGTTTAGACTGGTCTGAACTTCAAACCCTTCTTTGCTTGGATCCCTTCCCAGCCAGCCAGCTTCCTCCCTTGCTCTCCCTGTCATCTATTTCCAAAACAACAGAAGACAATCCTTGGAGAATGTGAGCTGAATCGGTGAGCTGCTCACAACACTCAGAAGATCTGAAGTTTCTGTGGTAGGTTCCAGGGTGCTGTATGATCTGAACCCACAGTCCCTGGCCCTTGCTTCCATGGTGCCAGTCCTTCTGGCCATTTTTGCTATTCCTTGATCACATCAGATAAGCTTCTGCCTCAGGGCCTTTGCATCTGCTATTTTCTCTCTGTAGCACACTCTTCCCTGAAACAGCCATGTTGCCACTTCCCTTACAACCTTCAAGGTTCTATCCAAATGCACCTTACCATGTCACCTTTCTGGAAACAATCCCATTTAAGAACGCAGCCTCTCCGGCTGCTTCTCCATCCTTAAACCCTTTTCTGTTTTGTGTATCACCATTGCACTTAGGGCCATTTCACACATACGCTCATTTGTCTTCCCCAACTAACATACACATTATACAAAAGCAGGAGATTTTGACCAATTTACTGCTGCATCTACAACATCTAAAACAGGATCTGACACCACAAAGCAAGTGGTCAATAATACATGCTTGCATTTGTTGAATAAATGAGTGCTATGATTTTTCTTAATTATACAAAATCCTCCTTTTAAGATGAGAAGCTATCCACATTTAGCTGCCTCTCTCTGGTCAGTAAAAGCTCACGTGAGGTTACTCCAGGCAGATATTATGAGCTAACCAATATGTGAATTTCCTCTGTATTGTCTAGCAACCTGCCTGTTCTGCTGCGTTCTTTCTAGTGATGCCTGGCTTATCATTGGCACTCAGTAGCTGTTATCGACAACAGCAGGCTCACACCCAGTGCTGCTATTGTACCAGCTGTGTGCTACTGAGAAAGTGGTAACTTTGGGTCATCAGTTTCCCCACTTAGATGAATGGACAGATGCCACTGCAGATCCTGGCCAATCAGAGACAGCAAAAGACAGGTGTGTTTCCTTTATTTCCAGCACACCAAACCTGCTCAGCCTGGCACATTTCTACAGAGGAACTCCTCAGAAGTTGCTAAACAATGAAATGTGTGTGGAGGGTGGGGGTGGGCAGGATGCAGAGGAGAGAGAGATGGAGGCAGGACCAGGGTGCCCTTGCCAGAGTCTTTCCAAACTCAGCTCCTGGGTCTGGAGGGATGGGCCACAGAAACAGGTGCCTCCTGCCCTGGGACAGGCAACAGCTGGGACAGCTCCTCTGTCCTGATTTAAAACTAAACATCTGAGTGGGACGCCACACACACACCTCACAGGAGAAAATGATTTGACCCTAAATGAGTAAAAGTGGTATAGGAGCAAACCATGCACACATGTGCACACACACACAGGGAACAGATGTCCTGAACAGGGGACCAGAGGGAAGAGAACAGGAGGAGGAACAAGGAAATGTGGGCAGTGGGGCGGAGAGAGATCCAGGTGTGCCAATGCTGGCAAGGGAACGCCACCTGGCTTGGTGCTCAGCACTTCCCCATGCGCCATCTCCCGTCTTCCAGGCACCTGCTGTGATCTCAAACTGGTAGTAATCCTATTTTGCCAGCCAGGAACCCAGAGCCCAGGAAGACAAACACACTGGCCCCAGACCACACCGTTAATGATGAGCAGGGTCCAAACTCCAGCCGCAAGCGTGCAGTGCAAAGCTGCTGATGCCCTGCTCCGAGCTCTGCCCACTGATGGCCACCAGAGCCAGCCATGGTGCAGGAGGGCAAGCACACGCAGGCACATGCATGCGTGGGGGCCAGGGCCACTCACACGGTGGCTGGGGGAGTAGGCGAGAAGCCCAGATCCCCGTTACAGCCAGCTCCCCTCATGCTGTCCCCTCACTCCAGAGGGACCACCAGACAGCAAAACCCTCCTCACTCCCAGCTTCTCTGGGCAAGGCCAGTGTGAGCTGAAGGGTGCTGACAGGTCCCAACCCCTCATTCCTGTCTAGCACGACTCACACGCAGCTTTTCCTCATGGTTCTCCCCTCCGGAGGACCCACCCCCAGCAAGGACAGGCGAGCAAGGACACAGAGACAGCTGTCATCCAGACCAGCAGGCCTTACCTCTTCCATTGCTTTTCTGTGAGGCAGAATCTGGGAGACAAACCCGGCTTCCCAGAGCCGGATTCTGGGGCCAGCAGTCTGCGCGGCTCCTCCGCCTCTGCCGGCTAGGGAGCCTTCACTTCCCGCAGCCCTGGATACACCTGAGCCCAGAGGCTCCACCTGCCCCACCTGCACTATGGCTCCACCCTCTCCCGGGGCTGGGCCCCAGCTGGCCTCCATCCTTCAAGCCTGGCCAGCACCAAGCACCTGCAGGGAGTCCCGAGGGAGGCCTCTGTCCCCCAGATCCACAGAGCCCAGCGTGCCCAGCAAGCAGCTCTGCCCAGGGATCCATGGCTGATCTACAGTCACGCCCCTCCAGGGATTTCCTGTCCTGCCAGCCCGAGGCTGGGGGAGTCGCTGGGGAATGGGGACAGCTCCCTCCTCTGTTAGCAGGGAAAGCTCAGGCTGGACAATGTAATCTCCATTAGTCTCAACCCCCAGCCAACTCCGCCCCCCCACCAATGGCTACTTCACAAAATGCTTTCTCAGGCCAGTGAGACCACAGACCAAAGCTGGGAGAGGCCCTGAGCCCCTGGGGGTGTTTAGCAGAAGCGAGGGGGAGCTCATAGAGTGGAGCACCTGTTGGGGGGGGTTGCATGCATTATGACTCTTAACTCCTACAATAGCCGGGAGAGTGCTCTGCTCCAAATTTCAAAAGGAGGAAAATGCTGTTTAGAGAGATGGAATACCCTGCCCAGTCACATAATCAGGGTTTATACCCCCAGTTTTATTTTTCTGGGAGTGTTTTTTCTTCATTTTCCCTGACAGGGCTGGTGCAGAAACTGAGCGTGAGTTCCCAGTTTTGGGGGCTCCAAGCTGTGCTGGGTCCAGGGCCCGGCAGGGCAGGTGGCTTGAGCCCTGCCTTATGCAGCCTGTGTGCCTTTTCTTGCTTTTGTTGGGCCAAGCTCTGTAAGTGAACAGATTACCTTGCCAGGACCAGGGGAGAAGAGGTGGGAGCAGGTGAGGAAGTCCCATTGCCCGTCCATGTCATCCAGCAGGTGATGGTTGAGAATCAATCAGCAATGCAGGCTTCAAGGCCCCAGCAAGGCACTCAGTCAATGCTGTGCTTCTGATCTAAGGTCTGGGAGTCTGGGCTTTCTGGGAACTTTTTATCTCAGTGTATTTAAACCTTGTTAATGACTCACAGTATGATAACCCTTTGACATCGTGATTGCCCTCATAAACAGGCACATATACTAACATAAAAACTTCCCAAAGCCATAATCACTCTTACTGTGTGTGATCCCACTGATGTTTTCCATTCTGTTCTGAGCCACAATATGCCATTTAATTAAATAATGGTCAGCATATCCCCTACACCAACTCGACAGCTCAGTCTGAGCAACCCTGCTGTGTAGACTGCTCATACTCAGCTTGGGGCGCCCAATCCTCAGAGCTAGAGTGGCTCAGCAGCACCCCGTTTCCCACTCTTGCCTCTGCATGCATTGGTGAAGCCTATGATGCTACAGGAGAACTTGGAGCGCTTCTCCTAACCCCAGGTGAGCACTGGGCCAGTCAAGTCCTTTTGCTCCTAATGCAGGGGCTCCCCCTAGTGGCTCCAGTCAGGCCTACCATGGCAGAAAGCATGGAGTAGGGCAGCTGGGATTCCCATCTCCCTGAACCAGGAAGGGCTGGGAGGTTTGTGCATTTTGGATTGGTTCTTGGCAAGTTACAGTGGTAGGGCCTTAGAAGGCGAAGGCACTAATCATGGTAGCTGTTAGCAGTGGGGACTGTTTTAACAGTAGGCTTAAGAGCTGTGCCTTTCAGATCATCACAGGGCCCCTCTGTTACCCTGTGATTTTCTAGGTGCTAAATTTGGTTTTCCTGATAATAGTTGGCCTTGGGAAAGCCAACCAGCTAAGTAAGAGGGCTGGCAGTCTTGGCTTAAAGACTCGTGGCCATGAGAAAATCTCTTGGTGGGTGTTGAGCCTTGTGCAGACGCCACCACAGTCAGTTCTCCTCTTTCTTTCCCTCTCCTCCTCTGTCACTGTTGACTGTGTCAGCATCAAAATGCATATGCTGCACTTGGAAGTGCAAGGGGCAGTAGCAGTGTTTGATTTCCTTACGATGATCCCAGTCTGAGCCCCCATCCCATGAGCGGCAGGTCATCTCATCTGGCTTGATTAGAGAGAGAATTCACACATAAGATTACTTGGGAGGGAGGCAGCAGGAGAGGTGGGAGAGTTTTGCATGTGAAATTCAGGGTTTGACTCAGTTTAACCAGATGTCACCATGCCTTTGGAATAACAAGTTCAATCCCATAAAGAAGTCAGAGATCCTAAAGCAAGGTGCTTTAGCGACCTGCTGCTAGTGTCAGGTCAGGGTAATTCTCTCTGTGAGCTGCACTTCACCACGGACAAGGAGCTGCCAGGGGTGGTGCCCCAGGCCTTGCTGTCACCACCACACTGAGGTGACCCTCCTTTCCCAGTTCAGGAAACTGAGGCACCTCTGCGGGATGGTGCAGCAAGGGGATGAGCAGAAATCCCAGCCCAAGCTCTCTAGTTACAGAACCGACTCTCACAACCATGCTGTTGGATACTACTTCAATCTGAGAGAAACACTGTGTAGAATAGCAAATTCACAAACTCAGACCTAGAAGGAGGGTTTTCTTGAGGGGGGCACTGTTTTACCTTTTTAATTTTGAAAGATATCTGAGAATACATGGCAGATACTTAGGCGGGAAGGTGGGCCTGAAATCTTCTAGACCTTTCTGGTCTGCTAAGCCCCCAGCTTCTGTTTGTCTTCCTGGAGGGGGGACAATGTGCCATACTCTCCAACGAGGTCCCATCCATCCTTCACGTACTGAGTGTCAGGAATGCATGCTTCCAGCACTTTCTGGATGTCTTCAAACCTGACTTTGAGTCTCAGAGGCTGCTTGAAGCGTTCCAGTGTTTCCTATCATGTCTCAATCTTTCATTTCTTGGCAAATATGCTTGCTATACTTTGCATCATAAGTTATGGTTTATAGCAGAGTACCCTAATGTGAGAAAGGAATGTTTAAAAAAAAGTCTGAAAATGGAAAGTCACATGTGTTCACATCTTTCTAGGGTAGACATTGGGTCCTGTGTGTTACGTGGTGACAAAGCTGGAGTTGGCAGATTGATGATTGTCAGAGTGAGGAGAGTGCTGCTGGAGTAACCTATTATTAATATTAAAGTTATTATTGGTTACATTAATCATTTCAGAAGATTTTCAGCATAATGTACAATTTGTTTATGTATAATTTATACCCTGATGACTTCAAAAGGGAGAGAAAGAAAGAGGAAAGGAAGTGAAATTTATTGAGTCTGTTGTATAACAAGCTATAGAGCAGCATATATTTTCTTCTATTCCTCTGAACACTGCTGTAAAATAAGAAATGATATCTCCGTGGACGAGTGACGAAAACAAGGCCCAGGACAGCCAAGGCCAATGCCACAGCCAAGCTGAGAGTATAGGTTTGTTTCTCCATTCGTGCTCTGCTCTCTCCTAATCCACTGTCCTTCCCTCCACTCTACCCCAGACCTAAAAGGCCTTATGGGAAGAGGGGGGTGAGCAAAAACAAGCCACGTAAAATAAGATGGTTAAACATGAAGGGGATAGGCATGTGGAGGACAGGGCAGTGGGCAGGCAGGCAGGGATGGATAACCAGTGCAGAAACCTGGGGTGATTAGTGCAAGGGATGCAACTGTTTAGAGAGAGAGAGTTAACGACCAAATGCCTAGAATTATCTTGGAGGTATGTGAGCTCAAGAAAACTCTTGTTTCTTTTTTACCAGCTGGTGAAAATTCTCTAGTCCTCCTCGTTTCTCTTTGACCTTGAAGGAAGTTCATATCTCTACTTTGTGCTTCTGTAAGTAAACATCCTGAGGACTTGTAATAATTCAGGTAGAACTATGAAGGCTGCTAAGCAGACATGACTAAGGCAGGATGCTTTCCTTTGAATAATCTTGAAAGGAAACTCTGAGGACCTACTGTGTGCCAGGTGCTCTGCTTAGATCTGGGGTTGGAGCACACTTTAGAGTCTTGTAAGAACTGGCTTCTGCCACTAATTCAAGTCGCATTATGTATGCATCACTCAGATGAATTATTAAGATGTTTTTTGATAGACTTGTCTTGTTGAGATCAAAGAATGAGCATTCCCCTGTGGGAAAGCATGGGGCTCGCCTACAAGTAGGAAATCACTTCCCATAGCAGTCACTCCCATGTTCCATCATCCAGAAACGTGGATTCTCAGGCAGAAAACTCAGGAGAGGGGAACCCTGCCCTCTCTGCAGGTCCTGATTTCTTGGTCTGGCCTCCATGGTATACACAGCACGTGACTACAGCGCTTTTAGGCCTGGAGGACCAGGGTGTGGGAGCGCTGGGTTTCTCCGCTACCGCTGAGTCAAGTGGTATCTTGGTCTGTTTGTGCTGCTACAACAAAATATCGTAGCGTCAGAAATTTATAACCAGGATGATTTTTTATTTATTTTGAAAGTCAGAGTGAGAGAGACAGAGAGGTCTTCCATCTACAAGTTCACTCCCCAGATGGCCGCAACAGACAGCGCCAGGCCAGGCTGAGGTCAGGAGCCAGGAGGTTCATCCAGGTCTTGCATGTGGGTGGCAGGGTCCCAAACATTTGGGCCATATTCTGCTGCTTTTCCTAGGTATATTAGCAGAGAGCTGGATTAGAAGTGGAGCATCCGAGACTCGAACCGGCATCCACATGGGATGCTGTTGTTGCAAGCAGTGGCGTTACCCCTACACCACAATACTAGCCCATAACCAGATGAATTTATTTCTCACATTTATGGAGGCTGGGAAGGCCAAGCTCGTGGCAGGTTTAGTGTCTGGTGGGCGCCAGTATCTGCTTCCACTGTAATGCTTTGAGTGCTGCATCCTCCCGAGGAGATGAACCTATGTCCCTACATGACTGAACACGGAAGGGCCAAAAAAGGCCTTGCTAGTTCCTTCCAGTTCCTTTTTTTTTTTTTAAGATTTATTTTATTTATTTGAAAGAGTTACAGAGAGAGAAAGAGGGAGAGACAGAAAGAGGGAGAGGTCTTCCATCTGCTTGCTCACTCTCCAAACGACCACAACAGTAGGAGCTGAGCTGATCCGAAGCAAGGAGCCAGAAACCAGGAGCCAGGAGCCAGGAGCTTCTTCCAGGTCTTCCACATGGGCCCAGGGGCCCAAGAACGTGGGCTGTCCTCTGCTGCTTTCCCAGGCACATTATCAGGGAGCTGGATCGCAAATGGAGCAGCTGGGACTTGAACCAGCACCCGTATGGGACGCCGGCACTGCAGGCCAGGGCCTTAACCTGCTGTTCCACAGCTCTGGCCCACCACCCTCCCCACTCCAGTTCTTTATAAGGCACTGACTCCAT